CTGACTCCGTCTCGACCAGGCTCTCAAATTCGGAGACGGCATCTGAAGTGCTGCCTGATGAATGTTGTGCGAATGCCTTGACAGCAGCGAAGTCTGGCGCATTGCCCGCTTTCCCTATACTTGCAAGGACCTCCTTGGCTTGACCGACAGCGATCTGAGCTCGCAGCTGGAGTACTCGAGCTGGCGTCTTATTTTCGGATGAGAGAGAAGAGGTGTCGAAGTCTATTACTGTTTGATATTGTCCTTGGTGAAAGGCATTGTGGATGTTGAGTAGCTCTAGTGAGTGGTTAGTACTGGGCCTTTTTTAATGCTCCCTTTGCGTGTATGCTCACCCCCCTCTGCTGAGAATGGATCCATGATTAAAGATTAAATCCGGGGAGGCACGAGGATACGAAGTCGATAAAGTAGACACTTTGGACAAACATAAAACCGCCCTGACGGCTCTTCCCGCGCCCGCAGCTGAATGTGAAGCTCAGGTGCCCCACCCATATAAGCAACCCCATTTGGAGGTACATTGTTAGAGAATTAGCCCTCTTGTGGAGCTGTATTTTCTACGTATTCATATCTCTCAGAGTCCAGTATCTGTTCTGTCCCATTTGTCTTCTTTCATTACTTTCAGATACTCTGATCTCCTCCGCTTCCTAGAGCACATGAGGGGCGTTCCCCGTAGCACCCCAGGTCTTCTTACCACCGATCTCATCGACAGCCGGCTTGGCAACACCGCGGAATCTGACACCTAGGCTTGCTTGGACCGTCCCCGGAGAGCCTCAGGGTTCGACATACTCTTTTCACACTATGGTCCGCATTGCTTTACCCAATCGTCTAAAGAGTCACAATGGCAAAAATGGAGTAACCAGTCAACCTGACAGCAGGGGCACAAGCCCCATGCGAACCCCTATGGAAACCAAGGGCTTGGTCCTCAGGACGAGAGTCTTAAGAGTAAGTAGGCTACGCCATATCTAAGCTACCCTTAAAGAATCTAATGGATGCACGGTTAAGGCAAGGAACTTGGCAGCAAAAGACAAGAGTGGTACCAGTGATCCCGTGAGTGCTTATGCCATACCAATACCTTCCATAGTACGGTCTCGGCTGATGGCAAAAGTACCTCGTTGTGAATCTTGGAGACGCGAAACAATCCACTCCTACCGTCAGCAAGAATCTCAACCCAGAATGGAACGTCTCCTTCGATCTACCCATAGATGGCATTCAGAGTGTGTTGCTAGAGGCTGTTTGTTGGGACAGAGATCGGTTTGGCAAGGATTATCTCGGCGAATTTGACGTCGTCGTTGAGGATATCTTTGCCAATAGCCAAACGGTGCAAGAGGTGAGCTATCTCTGAAGCAGCTGCAGTTCTCCAGCTGACTTTCCCGAGTCTCGCTGGTATACATTGGAGTCAAGACGGAAAGACGGAAAGAAGAAGGGCGCGAAGATTTCTGGCGAGGTACAGCTGCAATTCTCGCTTGTGGACACCTCAGATCTGTCCGCGCCTCCGCAGGATGTCCTTCAGAAGTTCGCGAAGCTAGTCGCGATGAGTCCAGAAGATGAAAGTGATGGGGACGAAGACCTTTCCAGACTCGACAGTCTGGACCTCGAAGACGAAGATGAGGACGAGGATGGAATAGATGAGAAGAATCCTGAAACATCTGACGAGACTGATGATCCCGCAAAGCCGGCCAAAGCGGAGAAAGAGAAGCGGAAGCGGAGGCTTAAGATGAAACGACTGAAAAAACAAGCAAAGGCCAGAGCATACGAGTTCACTGGAGGCACCGACGTTGTCGGTATCGTGTTTCTGGAAATATGCAAGATCACTGATCTCCCGCCGGAGCGAAACAGTAAGCGGACAGTAACAAGTTGCTCTCCCAATTCCTGTTAACCATCTCAATAGTGACAAGAACATCGTTTGACATGGACCCCTTTGTGGTAGCTTCCATAGGGAGGAAAACGTACAGGACTCGGGTCATTCGCCATAATTTAAATCCAGTATACGACGAGAAGATGGTCTTCCAGGTCATGCGGCACGAGCAGAATTATTCCGTGAGCTTCTCCGTTGTCGATCGAGATAAATTGTCCGGTAACGATTTCGTCGGCACCGCCAACTTTTCCCTTTCGAACGTCACATCCGTCGCTCCAGAGGCAGATGCCGAGACGGGCCTCTACAGCCTGCCAGAACCTCCAGATCCCTCTTTGGCGTTACCAACCCCCAAGCATTCGAGATTCAGGCTACCACTATCGAGGACTTCTTCAGCCTCAAGCTTGAACAAACTCACCAAGCCGAGTCTTATTACCAAGGGTTCGCAGGCTTCTATGAGTGGCAGCGCGCAGCCAGATCCGCAACCCGGCTCAGCGAGTGCACAAGGTGACTGGAACCATCTCACCCCAGCAACATCGGACGCTCCCCATGAAGCAGGAGAGGAGCATACAAGCCAGAATGAAGACCCGTCGATGAAGTTCTACACCCTCCCTCTCGTGTTAAAGAATAAAGAGCGTTGGGAAGACAAACATAGTCCACAGCTATTCGTCAAAGCAAAGTATCTCCCATACCCCGCGTTGCGGCAGCAATTCTGGCGTGCAATGCTCAAACAATACGACTCAGACGAAAACTCGAGACTTAGCAAAGTGGAGTTAACAACAATGCTTGACACTTTAGGTTCGACGCTGAAGGAGTCAACCATCGATCATTTCTTCGAAAGGTTCTCAGATACGAGCGATTCGCCCGATCCCGTCTTAACCTATGACCAAGCTGTTATCGCTCTGGAGGATCAGCTACATCAGCCGATACGAAGGAAGACTTGGAGTGATACCATGAGAGGCTACATGGACCATGCACACTTTTCAACCCAGAGTAATGGAGAAGACAAGGGGAGTGTTGATAACGATATGCCTGCTATGGAGGGCATTGCCAAAGAGCCTCTGAATAAGAATGAAGACCGTTCGGCCGTTCCTGCAATCTCCCAGGATTATATTGGCTCGCAGGGTGAATCTGGGGACTTGATAGAAGAGAATGACCTAACGGACGAGCGAGGCGAAGAGCATGTGGTTGAGATCCGCGAATGCCCATTATGTCACCAACCGAGATTGAACAAAAAGTCTGACGCCGATATAATCACCCACATCGCCACCTGCGCAAGTCAAGATTGGAGGCAAGTGAACAACATCGTCATGGCAGGCTTCGTCACCTCGAGCCAAGCACAGCGCAAATGGTATTCGAAGGTCATCACCAAGATCTCATACGGTGGCTATAAGTTGGGTGCCAATTCAGCCAACATCTTGGTCCAGGACAGAATGACAGGGCAGATCAACGAGGAGAGAATGAGCGTGTACGTTCGGATTGGGATTCGTTTGCTGTATAAGGGGTTGAAAAGCAGAGATATGGAGAAGAAGCGAAGTAAGTCTGAGACTCAGGGGAAAGAGAGGACACTACTGACAAATGGCAAGTCCGAAAGATGCTCAGGTCGATGAGTTTCAAGCAAGGGAGAAAGTACGATGATCCAGCTTCGGCTCGAGAGATCCAGGGCTTCGTCAACTTCCACCAACTCGACATGTCAGAAGTCCGCAAGCCAGTCGAGGAGTTCAAAAATTTCAACGAGTTCTTCTATCGAGAATTGAAGCCAGACGCAAGGCCATGCTCGGCTCCCGGAAATTCCAAGATCATCGTGTCGCCCGCAGATTGTCGGTCTGTAGTCTTCAACAACATGGACGCTGCCACCAAGATCTGGGTCAAAGGTCGAGAATTCTCTGTCCAGCGGCTTCTAGGGAACGCTTACCCGCAGGATGCAAAGCGGTATACGAATGGTTCTTTGGGTATCTTCCGGCTTGCACCCCAAGATTACCACCGCTTCCACATACCAGTGGACGGAATCATGGACAAGCCCAAGTTGATTGATGGAGAATATTATACCGTCAACCCAATGGCTATACGGTCCGCTCTAGATGTATACAGCGAAAATATCCGAGTCGTGGTACCGATCGATTCCGTCTCCCATGGTAGAGTGATGGTCATCTGCGTGGGTGCTATGATGGTCGGTAGTACAGTCATCACAAGGAAACCCGGAGAGGAGGTTCATCGGGCTGAAGAGCTGGGATACTTCAAGTTTGGCGGTAGTACGATTTTAGTCCTCTTCGAGCCTGGTGCTATGCAATTCGACGATGACCTGATTGACAACTCGAACGGGGCTTTGGAGACTTTGGTAAGGTTACCAATGCATTTGAGCCTCGCTCCATCCCTGCTGACATTCCGCTAGCTTCGCGTAGGCATGTCCATCGGTCATTCTCCGGAACAATTGCAGCATGCGCCTGATATGCCAAAGAAAGAAGAGCATGTTACTGAGGAGGAGAGACAAGAGGCTAAGCGCAGGATAGAGGGTAGTCTTGCCCCCTCGACCACGATATCCGGGCCTTCCTCAATGAAATGAATAAGGTATGAATATTGCGCAACGACTGCTTTAGTAAATAGCATCGGAACTCCTGATAAAAACGGGAAAGCGGAGCGTAGCATTTGCTCTTCTTTGTTTTCCCTGTAGAGCGCAGCGTTACCATGGTACTCCTCGCCAGCTTCAAACGAAGCCTGATGCGAAACAACTCTGGCATCAAATGTTTAACCGTAGAAGGAAAATCGCGTGAAGTACTCTACGAGTAGAAGACAAATCTCACAAAGGTCGCGTGTTGGGACTTTCAGGGCCAAGCTGAATTCGGCTAGCGGTAACACGAAATGTAAACAGCGAACGCAAGCTTCCGCCCCCTCCCCTTCAACAACTTCTACCCTGGGATTGCGACGATACGTCTCAACGACAAATTGACTACCAAGGTGTCTGTGCGGTCGCATAGAAAAGGAAGGAGCGACTGCATTCTCCCTCTGAGTCTCAAGACCTTCGATGAATCGCAATTCCAATTTTACCACGCGCGGGCCTTGATTTCACCAACCACGATCATCAACCTCTGCAGCAGCATCAATGACAGCATACGCGACGCGCGCTCCGCTGCAATTAATCAACAATCCACATATGATGAGTGAGCCTTCACGTGGCGGACGAAGGAGAAGCTCAAGACTTGAGGACAAGGAAGACGCACCATTCGCCAACGGCATAGTACATGATTCGGAGCCAGTCAAGGGGCGTCAAAGTACCACAGTGAAGCAAGGAAAGGCCAGTGTCAATGGTGCGGGTGTGAAATCAGCGGCGAAAAGGCAACTTGGTGAGCATCCCTGAACACCATGGTGGAGAAACAGGATTTTTCTTGGAGCTTCATTGGGGAGCGACTGGATTAGATGGTGCATCAGAGAGGTGTGACTGACTGAATTTATAGCTTGGGACGAAGAAGCCGATGGATTTGCATTTACACGGACGCGCGCAAAGAAAGCAAAAGCGGAGGCTGTACTAGCCAGTACTGCTGAGGAGCCTAGGCAGGAGGAACAAGCTGAACCAGCGCCAACAAGGAAGTCAAAGAAGAAGGCCACTGGTTCGCCCAGTGCCGCACCCGTAGAAAATGGAGGGGAAACAGCGAGGAGGAGAAGCACAAGGCATAGCGGAGAACATGAGAATGCGGATCCACCAGCTTTGCCTGTCAAGAAGAGGAGGAAGGACCGTGCCTCCAGCGAGCTGAAGCCCGACCATGGAGGCGAGAGATCGCACATGGACAATGAGCGAGCGAGAAAAGACCCGCAGCAGAACCATACGCAGCCGATTGAGGTTACGTTCGATGCTACGAAGATCGCCTTGCCATTCGCGGACACTCCGATCATACGGCGGAATAAGGAGATGAGGAAGACGAATGCGACTCGAAGAAGTAGCCTGGGTATGAGAGGGAGAAGGGCAAGTTCGTTGATTGACACAGGCAAATCTAATGGTAACAAGTTCGTTTGCGCCTTGACCGTGTCAACGCTGACTGTAAATCAGCCATGCCTCATGATGAAGTCGAAAGTTCCGAATTCTACAAGCACATAGCAAGTGATGGACTCTCGGAACCACGACGAATGAAGCAGCTCCTCACTTGGTGTGCGACACGAGCGTTGGGTGAGAAGCCTCTGTTTTCGACAGAAGATGGAAATGCAAGATTAGCAGGTATGTTCACGTCCGATCAGATTAAGAGCATTAATTGACACCTCTGTACAGCCCGAGAGATACAATCGCAGCTGCTGAAAGACTTCTCGACGAAGTCCGAGATGTCAGACTGGTTCAGCAGAGTGTGTTGAAATGATTCCAGAGCAAAGAGCGTTCCGGAAAAGTGTACTGATTCCACTACAGAACGATTCAACACCAGAACCTTCGTTACCAAGACCAAATCCTATGAACGTTTCAAACCTAGCCAAGATACAAGACCTGGAGCAACAAATAGCCCGGTATGAGCTGCACCCTTCTCCTATCCCTTACGAAGAAGGCAATTACTGACAGTGTCCCGTGATCTAGTCTGCAAACGGAGCGCCAAACTTGGGAGTCTCTCCTGCGCCCTCCGCCCGACAGCGCAGTTCTTCTCCCACCTCTTCCCTTAGACCCACCAGCTCAATTAGCCATCGACTCCAACCTCCTCTCCGATCCCGCCCAAACAGCCGCCCTGGAGACCCTCCAATCCTTGACCTCGGATTTCCAACCCTCCCTCTCAGCCATCACATCGTCGCGTCTCCAAGCCATAAACCAGAACCTCGAATTCGACGTCGACAAGTTCGCCCACAACGTTCACGCATTGGGTGCATACAAAGACGCTGCGGAAAGGATAGCGGACGAGGTCCTGGGCCTGAGCGCCGAAGCTCTAGAGAAGAGGGATCGAGAGGGCAAAGCCAGAGCTGCTGGGGAGGGCGGCGAGCCAGGCATGAGGGATGTGCTCAGGGGCTTGAGCCGGGTGGTTGATCGGTGATGATGACCGAAATGGCGTGCGTCCGTCCGTCCAACTCCCAGTCGACGAGTACGACGAAGGAAGAATAAACAGCTTGCGAGAATTTCAATGATCTATATCGAACCCTTCCTGTTGATCCAAATGGCGGTGGATACGTCGTCGTGTCTTACTTACGTCCCTGATGCATTATTGACGCGCGGCGTTATACAGGCAAGGCGTTACAGGGACAAGGAAGGCAGCTTTGTTTGATGGAAATGCCTGACACGGCATTCTAGTTGGGGGGCTTCCAAGGGGCGGTGGCTACTATGTAAATTGGATTGATGCCGAGATATGCGGACAGGAGTCGAGATGCAAAAACCTCACTTGGGGCGAGAGTATCAGGGTGGTTCTCTTCCGGGCTACAGCCAGCCAGCCAATCTATTCGGGCCGTGATACCTGTACACCCCCTCGTGACCCGCCTCCACTTCCGGGTGCTGTTTCCGCGCTGCTCGGGGCTGGGCGTAATCTCGAGTGCTCTTGCCGTCTACAGAGTGAACAGGACCCTCCCTCCCTCCCTCCCTTCCTGTACACACTCGCTCCTCCAACTCTTTCGGTGCGTTGGATCTTGAACGGACTCGCCCTCTGGGAGGTGAAGGGTAAAGCTGATGGTGGAAATTGCCTCTAGGTAGGTATGTAAATTGGAATGAGTGAGTGAGTGAGTGTATCGGGTCGAACACCCATCGTACCCGGAAGCTGTTCCCGGACGTAAGGGCGTACAATGTATCGCTTGCTCTCATGCGCGTGGAATGATCATGACCAAAAAAAGAGAGGCCGGATTGCGTCATCTTGGCGCTCTGTTATTCTGCCCAAGCCCTGATCCTTTCCATTTCCCCTGAATTTAATTCTTTTCATCTTTTTTTCTTTTTTTTTCCCTTTTTTTCTTCATGTCGGTGACTTCCAAATCCACCTTTTCCCACACTGCAGCGGTAAACGCCGGTATCGGCCCAATCCTTCCATCACCGATCCAATACATTCGCGAGCATACACCACCGACACGCTAAAACCCCTAGCCAACCAATAACCTCCTGCAACGATCAGCGCTCGTGCATACGTTATCGCAGATTTCCCCCAAATCCGTAGATCGTCGATCAACGCCACCAGCGAATTACCAGCAGGCTAAAAGGTGGAACGATTGGAGCTCGACGGACGCCAAGCCTCGAGGTAGATGAAGTAGATGGATATGCAAGGCTAGGTGCCCAACGGCCCAATAGAGGTCGGATGCGAAGTTTCAATTAAGGTAGTGGGAGGCTGGGGCGCGCGGGGGAAGGGGGTAGGGGGTAGGTAACAGATCGCATATCTGCATTCTTGACAGCTGTCGTTGCATGCAGCTAGTTGGTTTAGCCGCTCGCGGGCCCTGCAGCGTAAAGTAAGGTAGATGCTCGAGCGCCAAGTGTGTTTGTTCTGCAGGCAAAAACGGAACGTGACGGGAGACGGCGGATGTGGTGGCATCGAGATGCATCGAGATGGGAGAAAGATGCGACTGGGCCCCAGGTGGGAATCGGAGATGATATGGTGATCGAAATACCGGTCCGTCGAACCACGGAAGAAAGAGAGTGCAGTTATCCGGAGAGCCTGATGCGTTCCAATAAGGTGCAGGAGGGTAGTAATAAGCTTTGGATAAGGATGTCCAGTTTGGGAAGTCGAAACCGTTGAGGTCGGGGTAGGCTAAGGCACGGAGGTGGAGAAGGGATACGTAGAGTGCGCAGGGAGTGAAGGATTGGGGGACTGCAGGACAGGGCGGCTTGAATGTGATATGTGACTATCCGCTGTCAGTTGTGCTTCACATTGGGGGTAACTTTGGGGGGAGGTCCCACGAGTCGATCCCTTCTAGCGCCAGGATAGGAAACTCCAGGCAGCAGACCGCTGTCAAACTTGCAGATACCCAGCTTTAATGTTTCGGCTTCCTGTCTTTTTCTATATCCGCTGCTCACTGAACTCTAAGACCCAATTACCACACGGTGGGAGAGATAGCAGTGCAGTAGATCAATGCAGGAAAGCGCTGTCAGACGTGCAGGTAACCCGACTTTGATCCTATCAGGCACTGTGACATAGGACCTGCCGCTGTCAACTGTCTCTCTCAGCGGCCAAAGCGTACAAGTGATGCAGCACACCGCTGTCAAGCATGCAGATGGCCAACCTTGGAAGCTGCACGGTTGTTTCCATCATGTAACCATCCATGATCGGCTGGCACTCTCAAAAGTCGTCAGCATGGAGAAGGCTATGCAGCAGAGCGCTGTCAGGACAGCAGGGTCACGCCCCTTGATAGGAAATCGACGTCAAATTTGGGGGTTCATCGCGTATGGTTAGTGCCGCTGCCAGAAGCACCTCAGACCGTGAAAGTCTGCCGGGAATCGATGGGAAAGTCTCGTGTCTCCCAGCTGCTACCCCTATCAAAGGTACAAAAACCCCTTCATCTAATCTGTGCAGTAGGCTGTAGCTCGGTGTGAGTTTCCTCTACTATTTTGCACTGTCCCGTACCAATCGTACTCGAACGGGCCGTAGTCAGTTGAGACCAACAAGAGCCATCATGCATCAGACAGAGCCATCATGCATCAGACAGAGCCATCATGCATCAGACAGAGCCATCTTGCATCAGACCGCTGTCAGGCATGCAAACCATCGTCCTTGCAGTAGTCTGACGTGGGGCTTGCCTACTGTTGTTGAAAGATATCATTATCCGCTGCCAATACCTGGCCCATCAGTAATATCTGTCACGTAGGCATCAAGTTTAAACAAGTCGCCCTCGTAGTTGCAGATGTTCCACCCTCCAACGTTTTTGACTCAATATTGAGTTGATCTGCTGTTGTGATATGTTCTTATCTACTAATAAGTCTGCTTCAAGGTCGGATGACAGACGGCTGTCAACCCTGCAGATTAACCTCCTCGTTCAAACAACTCTCTTTGCCATTATTGTAAGCGACCCCTCGCTGTGAATGCCAGGTACTTCGGCGCGACAAAACACTCAGTCTGCACTCTGCCGTGGGAAAGGTTCCATTACTCAGAGATGTGAGAGCTGGATAAGTCGATGCTTTGTAGCTGTCAATCTCATGTCAGTGCGTAGGTTTGAGCGCTTGTATTCGAATGCCGTGGACCGCGGGTCGTTTAAAAAGGCGGTGAGATGATGGCCTCGTTGGGGGGTTCAAGACTCCGGTATATTATCTAGCGACAGCCATTCCGTGAAAATGCCATACCCCGAGTTGCGTCACACAATTGGTGGGGAAAAGCTTCTGCGGAGCAGAGGTATTCAGGGACTGACCAGTCAAGAGCGATTCAGATAGCATAGTGTGGTTTGAAAGTCTGTAGTCTGTACAGAGGAAGCCAGGTGGACTTCACGTAGCCATTGCGCAGCCCGCCATGCGTGACTACACTTGTTGGCAAACAATGCATCTGTCGAGCTAAACCGCGCCAGGATACCCGCCTCCTTCCTTTGCTAACGGAGAGGCGATGGGCCTAAATCGACAGAGTGGAATGAGTGATCCGGAACACCTGATACGTCTTGTGCGGTCTAGTAGTGCCCATAATTGTATGCAAATGGCGGATTGTTAGATGCTTGTTGCAGAGATTGCGTCGGTGATCCGATGTTCCTGGCGGGGGTAAGCAAAGACTCGTTTCGGACTGAAGAAGAGCCCACGAGTACGTGTGAAGTTTTTTTTGGTTCGGCTAAAGACCATGGATGAGAGGACTTTAATGATCACGCCATCGGCCTGTTAATACAGGGTTGCGCCATCCGTGGAGCCTGTAGCGTTATCCGTCTCCAGTGTGAAGAGCTTTGAGAGAGGTTGTTCGCTGTATGATGCTTAAGTTAAACCATAACATGAGCTGTCCCGGATGTTTAAAAGGCGGACCAGGTGCAAGAAGCGACGATGCAACGACCTTTTGGATTTCAAGGTACATTCCGATGTCCATAGACCTCCGTCGACCGTGGGAAATGATTGGCTAGGAAACTGTCGAAAACCACTTCTGACCCCACGGTTGGGGCAATGTCAATGGGAGGTCCGATAGCTAAAGCGTCTAGAGTCGTGAGTGCTAACAGGGAATCAAGGTTGCGGAACCCAACTTTGACGCGGGCGACTAAAAAGGATTGATTTTTGAGATGATGGAAGGGACGACCGGGCCTCCAAAGCACCGCACTACACTTTGGAGCGGATATGATAGAGGAGTCACACGAGACTGATCACAAACACTGCAGAGTCTTCATTCGATGCAGCTGAAATTAAAAGTAGGAAAAAGGGGTAGGAAAAGGTTCCAAGTGAGGTTCTATGGTTTTCAGATGCTCGTGGCTGTCCACTCTTTAGAATATATAGCCGCTCTGGACGAGAGATGGTAGTTAGAACATCGAGTCAGAAGTCAAGACCCGTCCAAGAGACGCGGTTCCTCTACTTGGTTCATGGCCGCTATAGCAGAGAACGTACCTGATTTAGGCCCGTTTGAGATTTGAGACTGGAGACTTGAGACTTGACATGTAAGTACCTTCATAAGCTAGACTCGATGAGGCTTAGCAAGATGCCTCTTAAAGACACCGGATTTTTTTGTTCAATAAGAATATCAATGACGACGACAAAAAGATGCCACAATGCGCACTGTGATCGGAAGAGCCAGCCTTGCTGAGTACTCACTTGCTCAATGTATGACGAGTCGTTGAATACCAAGATACCGTATTCTTTCCTATCATGCCAACTGCCAACACGGACCTTGTTCCCGTGTCCAGTGACCAGTCCAGTCAAAAAAGCCAAAAAAGCCAAAACACATCTGGGGAATTACAATCCGTTGCTGGGAGGTGGGAAGAGGAGGGGAAAAGGAAAGTTGGGAAAAGGAAAATTGGAAAATAGGAATGTCGATATCAAAGGTACGAACGTGATGGTGTCTGGTGGTGCATTTTTTATTCCTACTGCAGGAGTGCATAAATTTCATGCACGATGCAACCATGACTACGAGGAGGCGGCGATCGAAACAATCTTTGGTACCTATACCTACCCTACATT